GTAGTGATAGTTGATGTACTTAGTTGGCCAGGGGTTCGTTATTCAGTATAATAGAAGCTCTGCGAAGGAAGGAAACAGCTCTATGGGTGGTAACATCATAGGGACTGTCCTATTTCCCTCTGCCAGCCATCAAAGACAAACAGCATTTTTGTGATCATATGACCTCATTTCATCTAATTGCGTTCTTTATTAAAATTTAGTAGCTCCTAATTTTGTAGTTTAATTTTTATCCATGGAATGGGGAATATGAAGGGGGTCACTTCTGGATCTTATAGTAAGTATATTTGTGACAGCTGTAACCAACACAGCCCTGTACAAGAACTGAAACAGCTGGTGAAATGGAGGAAAACAGTCAGATGGCTTTTTCTTTTTCCTTTTTAGATCCTACATACAACTTTCTAAAATCTTACGGTGTCTTAATCTATATGTGACTTTACTTAACTGTGTGAAATCCAGCTATTAATCATTTAGGCCAAAAAGAGATAAATATTTATTAAATTACAGTTCTGGGCAGAGAGAGTTATACAAGCCTTTCTGTGTGATACAGGATTTTGTAGCATTCTGAAGTCATCTGTTTAACTTTTTAGCACTGCAGCCCCCTCAAGGTCTGTTCTCCTTAATTTGCATAAGTAACTGTCAAGCTCATTAACAGCTCTTTATTAGTGCTGAAAACCATCTGATGGAAACATGTTAGGTTGATCTAAAGGCTTTGTCTTTACTAGGAGAAAAGGTGTTTTCTAACAGGTGTTAGCTAACACTTGGTAACTAAGGCCATGTTTACTATATGGGGAAAAGTGGCATAGCTACAGCACCATAATTATCCTGGCATAATTCAGTAATGTAGACACAGTTTTAGAATAACAGAAGAGTTTGGGGTTTTTGGGGTTTTTTGGTTGTTGTTGTTGTTATGGTAACACCAATTCCCTTAGTGACAGCAGCTAGCTGAAGGAAAGCGTTTTCTCTTAGCCTAGCTGCATCTACACGGGGGATTAGGTTGGCGTAGCTGCATCCCTCAGGGGTGTCAATTTTCCCACCTCTCTGGGTGTTGTAACTATGATGACCAAAAGGCCTAGCACAGCTAACAGGCCTGACATTGCTCTGCACCCCAGAAGGAGTGGGGCCTCAGGCAGAAGGGATGGGGTTGGGGCTACACAGCCCTCAGCGCCACACAGAAAGCACACCCTGCCCCCAGCCCTTAGTGCTGCCTGGAGCTATGTAAAAGGCCGGGGCTCCATCTGCTGCTACTGCGGCACCAGCTGGGAGCTCTGGGCCTGTTTGTATTGCTGGGCCCCAGGGCAGCTGCCCCCTTTGACATCCCCCTCGTCAGTGGGCCTGAACACAGGATAAAACCCTAGGGATGCCTTGTCTTCACTAAGATAAAGGGTGTGTTCTTACTTCACGTTAGCTAACATATGGTAGCTAAAATCCTAGCAAAGGTAAGACCATTTGTAGCTTTAACTCATGGTATGAGATTGAGGCAGAGACTATGGAGAAGCCTATAGCTTACCTTGTCATGCAAACTAATGTTAAAATTACAACTGCCTACCTTGCTTCTTAGGATAGACGTGCCTTATGGGGATGGTTTTCCAATCACCGGTCACAGTTCAGCCTAGTGATTAAGATAAGCATAGAATCTAAAGAAAATATGCATGTTTAGGGGACAAAATGTGACAACCAGTTTGAAGGCTGAAGCAAGAAGCAAATTCTCCGTCAGTGACTTGTGTACATTTGTGTCTCCCACACAGGCATGGCGGAAGCGCTGGTTTGTGCTCCGCAGGGGCCGCATGAGCGGGAACCCGGACGTTCTGGAGTATTACAGAAACAACCATTCCAAAAAACCCATTCGGATCATAGACCTTAATGAGTGTGAAGTATTGAAGCATTCAGGGCCCAACTTCATCAAGAAAGAGTTCCAGAATAACTTTGTCTTCATTGTGAAAACCACCTATCGCTCCTTTTACTTGGTGGCCAAAACAGAGGAGGAAATGCAGATATGGGTGCACAACATCAGTCAGATCTGTAACTTCGGACACTTAGAAGATGGCACAGGTAGGAATGGAATTACGGCTCAAGCTCTGTGGAAATAACCTAGTGCTGGAATCTTCCTCAGGCGGAACAATGGCCAGATGGGAGTGGAGTCTTATTCCATGGGGGAACATCATAGAACCAGTGTCAACTGGTTTGATTCTAGAAAGTTTGATTAACGCTATCAAAGCTATCAATTCTGCTGGGTATAAATAGCCAGTTGGTTTTGGTCTCACTTCTGTGAACTAACTCCTTTTGGAATAAACCAACACATCTTTTATCAGAGAAGCTACTGTTTGTGTACAGTACTGACTGAACATTATCTAATGGTGCTTTATATTTCGCTAGCAGGTTTAACCAGTGTTGCCTGGTAGGGCCAACAGAGCACTACTCCACATTTTTCCATTTTATCTCTTTTCTGTAAGGTCTATTGAGAAGCAATCCAATTCCAGGTTTGTCCTATTTTTCTGGCTCATCTTGGTTCAGTCTCTGTCAACATTCACTCAGTTATGTTAGTTATGAGTAATGTACTTGATTTGGTGATTCTGTCACATTTCCGCTTGGTTTTCTGAGAAGTAATCCCATTCCAAGCACTTCCTGTTGTCTTGGCACAACTAAACCCTTATGTTGCTTTAAGTTATGATAAGAGAAGCTCTATGCTGAATTTGGTGTTCATAGCTCTGACCGTTTAGGAGTTCTTGATCAAACAGACAAACTTTCAAAATTTTACATGTTTGGTATTTATTTAGTTTAACTTAACATCAGACACCCATCTCAAAGAGAGAAGGTGTCCTACAAAATTCACATTGTCTAAAGCGTTACAAGATGTGATCCATAAATCTTAATGCTAAAGCTAGAGAGCCATTTTAATCTTGTAAAGAGGAGAAAGGGCAGAAAAAAGAGGCAGAGAATCAAATACTCCAGGACTGTGGTAGGAATGTGTGTCTAGAGACCCACGATATGTTCCTGCTGGTGAAAATGAGGACAAAGTATTTTGTCAAGATCTCCACCCATATATAGAGAGATCCTGTAAGTTTGTTATAGTGAATTTGTTGAAGCTCCTCCTAGAATTAGCCCTACAGGTTGAATCTGGCCATTAATTGAAAACACGAACTAGAGATGTTAACGGGTAAACGGTTAACTGGTTATCCATTAAGCATCACTCTTTTTGGATTGGCCACTGCCCATAGGATCCCGGTTAACCAGTTAAATGGAATGTTTGACATTCTGTTTAGCCAGTTAACTTTTTAACCGGTATTTTACATCCCTAACAGGAATCTGTATCATTAGTTTGTTTTTTAAAATAAGCTATTCAGCTTCAGATAAATGCAAACAGTCCCTGACATTTCCAAGGGGCAGATGCAGCAATGATTTCAAAGTAGCAAAGGAAATAAGTCAGATTGAGTCTCAAGGTCATGAAGAAGGCCACTGCAACAACAGAAGTGGATGGTGCTGAAGGAATTCATTCATTTAAAGGGGTAATAGCACTTTTACTCTCATAAACTTGAAAGGAGAGAGAAGAACATGCTGGGATGCGTTAATTTCCTCTATCCCAATGCATTCTTTAATTTTCTCTTCATTAGTATGTTCAGAGGGGGGATGAAAGGGAATGGAGAAATTTTGGCAGAGTGCTTCCTGTTGTAATCCCTGATAGCTGCCATTTTCACATTCAGTTTAGAGTCTGACCATAAGGAAAACTTGGTGGTGTGTTTGGTATGTGCCAGTGTATCTTCAACTAGCAAAGTAGGACTTAGTCACAGGCAGCACAAATTAGGAGCCGTGAGGGGGCTGGAATCACTTGCTCACCTGAGTTTGAATGAAATATGAGGATGGTTCAGAAACAAGCTGTCTTAACCTTGCTGAAATTGTGAGGTTTGGGAGTTTTGTTGCTGGATTGTAATGTTATTATTTTATGTATAATTTTGTCAAAGAGTCTAAAATTAGGGTAAGGCTGTCCCTGAGAAGCTAAAGAGGAACAATATCCTTCTCCTGTGAGATAAAGGAGTGAAGTCATGAAAAGCCAAAGAACAGAACAGATGGAGGTTCATTTCAGGGAGGCCCAGTTGATACGGTCTGGGCTGTAGTTTGCTCAGAGGACTTCTCCTATGGGATTTGAAGTGAACTCTTTATGAAAACAGTAAGAGTTTGCCCGAAGACAGGATACCTACTGCTCAAGCAATGCTCAAGCTTTCTCTTCTCACAGTTTGTGCCTCTCATCTAGGGCTTTGTGTACCCATGAAAGTTTTCTTGGCATAACTATATTGGCTCTGTTGGTATCACTGAGGGTGTGTCTAGATTACATGTTTTTTTTCGAAAAAAGTGGCCTTTTTAAAAAAAAAAACTTCCCCTGCATCTAGACTGCTGCTGCGTTCTTTCGAAAGTAAATCGAAAAAATGCAGCAGTTTTTTTCAACCACGGAAAACCTCGTTTTACGAGGAATAACACCTTTTTTTGAAAGTGTTCTTTCGAAAAAAGGCGCTATGTAATGCAAACTGTGCTTTTTCGAAAGAGAACATCCAGACTGCCTAGGTGCTCTCTTTTGAAAAAGCGGCTTGCTTTTTTGAAAGTACTGGTTGTAGTCTAGACGCTTTTTTTTCCAAAAGAGGCTTTTTCAAAAGTTTTTTCCAAAAACCCTCTTTCAAAAGAGGCTTGCAGTCTAGACATAGCCTGTATGTGCACTAGGGACTTCTGCCAGAGTGACTATGCTGGTCAAGGATAATATCTCTTCACAACCCTAAGCAACACAGTTACGCCAGCACAAGTCTATAGTGCAGACACAGGTATGCTGAAATAATTCAAGGGAAGCATTATACACACTTCTATACTGATATTTCTGTGTCCTCATTAGGTAGTTGTGCTGGTTTAACTATGCCAGTATAATCGTGTATCGGGCCTCCCAATTGCTTTAGAAACTGATTAATTTGGTTCAGTCACTTCACGTGACCTCTCTTAACTTGGTTTTAAAAAGCCTTAAATTCAGTTTAATTCAGTTACTGAATCTGTTGTTATGCCTGTGCACATTCCTTAATACAGATAAACCATCATGAGTCTCTTGCTGCCACACCTCACCTTTACTCAAACCTTTAATAAGAGCATAAGAACTACTGGGTCAAACCAAGGGTCCATCTAGCCCAGTATCCTTTCTGCCTACAGTGGCCAATGCCAGATGCCCCAGAGGCAGTGAACACAACAGGTAATGATCATATGATCCCTCTTCTGTCATCCATTTCCAGACCAACAGGCTAGGAACACCATTCCTACCCATCCTGGCTAATAGCCATTGATGGACCTAACCTCCATGAATCTAGCTCTTTTTTGATCCTTGTTCAAGTCCTAGTCTTCACAACATCCTCTGGCAAGAAGTTCCACAGGTTGACCATCATTATCTCCAGAATCATTATGACCTTATCTAGTTTTCCCTGGAACTCCTATTGGTCTGGTGAAGGTTGGAAAAGGGGTGGATTCAGGGCTATGTTCTTGTCCAGTTTACCATCAAATCTATAAAGTTGCATAGGTAGTGCATCAATTTTTAAACAGCTGCTGATTACTCATGCTTAGTAGAAGCACCTACCTCCTCAAAGTGTCTGTAGATTTAAACAAATTACCATAAAAATGAATATCAGAAGAGAAGGGAGCTCTGAAATGCCACGTGCTTTTTTGACTTTAATGCTAGCTAGTATGTAAAAATATTCCCAGGAGTGAATCATCATATCAGAGATGTGTCAATTGCAGGAAATTTTGATGTTTTTCAGTGCATTAAAATTAATCTCCAAGGTAATATTATGTAGCTAACCTGATCATTCATAATCCATGTACCTTTTACATTTTTTGTGACTTTCAGGCCAGAGTGTAATTTCAGATTATTTGTGCATGATGTGTGCAAGAGGGTAGTGGTAGGTTTACCCAGTGACTCAGCCATATTCCTATTTCAAATGAGCCCCTTCAAATGGAGAAAAACCTGGGTTAATAGCCAGCCTCATATTTATCAAAGAACCACTAATTTGGCTTTTCTACAGCTACAGCAGGACAAACCTGAATTGCAGTTTGAGTTCTACAGGGGGGCTGTACTGCCCACCGCAAGTAGCTGTTTTCAATCAGCACAGAGAGGGACAGCAAAGAGTAAGAGAAATGCAAGTTCCAAACAGATGTCAGGAAGCACCTGTGTGTGTAATTGTCAGGCTGCAAAGTTTGAGCAACCCAAGAAACCATGCCACTTACTGGTTACACTAGGAAATGGCAGCTAGAGAAGGAACTGTGCATTCCTCCCTCATGTTTCTGCTTTGCACCCTTTGGAACTCTAGTGGAGTCCAGATGGAGTTGTGAAACTCCACACCAGTATTTCCCTACTTCCTTTCTTTAACAGTCTGCTCCCATCCCTGGCATGGCAGGACAGAACTCCCTTGGAAGCACTATTGCCTACTGCTTAAAATGGGCCAGGGGAAAATAATTAAGACCTCACCACTGTGGGGAGCACAGTATAAAACCTAAACAGACAGATTATACTCCTTGTTTCCCTATCACAGGCCATAGATTACTGCATGCATAGGGCACACGGGGACCAATGTATAGGAGTATAGAGAAACCTATCATGATATCATCAAGTCCCATCACCATGGAGGGCAGGATCCATTCCCTGAGAGAGGAGTCCAACCCCACTTGCTGTTGAGTTATCCTTTTGCTGTACACCAGCTGTTCCCAAAGGGTGGCCTGCAGAGCATATGCTGATGATGCACAGTTTGACCGCTGATTGGCCATGTCGTGCTGGCTCTCATCTTTGTTCCTGGCAGCTTTTACAGGTGCCAGGCAAAGAAGTACAAAATCAGGTAGGAACAAGTCGGTGCCAGCCTACCCACTCACATCCGGACAGGACCTAGGCATTTCTCCTTCAGACCCATCTGCAAGCCCTACCTCTGCTGCAATGCCTACAAGCCATCAGCCAATTAATAATGGCTCCAGGGGCCATTCTTAGAGAGTTTCTGGCAATACAGCCTTTCTGTACACATGGAATCTATTGGGAAAATTGT